ATCTTCTCTCTGCTTGAGGCGCATTTCTCCACCTTCTTGGCGTTAGTTAATGTGCTCCCCTGTCCTAGGGTGTCAGACGGAGAGGGTTGAATCTTCCTCGGATTCCTCCACGCCCCCTCGCCTAGACAGTCCTTGACGGAGGTCATTCCAGGCCAATGGTTTGGTTCTCTTGCTTGGCTGGAATCTCCGGGAGTTGTCCCTTGACCCTCGGGCGCTTCGAAGCCTTAGAACTCCCCACCCTGCTGTTCAGCAGGAGGATGCAAATTCATCAAGCCGATTTAGGACGTTCACGTTGTCATCCTCTAACTATCGCAACCGATCCCCGAATTTTTCCTCGATCACATCAGCCAGTTGATGGGCCAACGGGGTTGATTTTTCAGACCCGATACCCATACTAGTTTAACAAGTTTGCTCCCTAAAATGAATGGGAAGTTCCTTGCTGACACTTTGTAAACCCCCACATGTTTATAGTAATATAATGATACAAATTGGTTGATAATTTAATATATGTGATGGCATAGGAATGAACTGTATAGGTTATAACCATATAAAATATTAATAGTGTAGAATCGGATAAATATTTAGTTCAAACTTAGTTTTGACTTGTAAATATATGAAACCGTTTGCAATAGAACTTATACCAATTATGTTTGATATACAAATATATGTTGTAAAAGTTTGGGTTGATTTTGGAATGGATTTGAAATAAAAAAAAAGAGGAAGAGGGCAAAATTGGACAAACCGTACCGGTACAGCGTGCCGGTACGATGCTATCCAGAGGGCATAACTTATCGGTACTGCGTACCGGTAAACTCTATAAGTTCCAGACATTTTAAGTCGTGATCTAGGGTCTATTTTTTACCCTATAAATACATAATGACGCCTCCATTAGCTCCATTTCAACCTTTCTAACCCTAGAAAACCTTAGAGAGGAAGAAAGGAAAAGAAAAACACAAGATCAAAAGAGATTTCCACTTCAAGAAAATCAAAACCCTAGTTTTTCAAGAACACCAAGGTAGAGATTTTTCTTCCATTATTGGGTATTGATGCTAGGGCTAATATATATGTATTCTTTGACTCTAAATCTTATATATTTGCTATGAAATCATCTTTTCTTGGTCTTCTTGCAAAGATTACATGTTTTGAACAAAGTTAGGGTTAAATACCCATTAAATCTCTTTTCTTGCTTTAAAACTCTAGTTTTTGGAGAGTGATGGATTTTCTTCTTAAATTCTTCCTTTATTATTGATTTTGAAACTATAGTGTTTTGTGTTGAGTAATAAAATGATGTTGTTGTGATCTCTTGTATTTTTCTTAATTGGTTTTGGAATTGTCACATGATAAATTTGGGAATTTTTGAGATATGCTTATAAATTGAGAAATTGAGTTTGGTATTGTATCTCTCATGAGTATGGGAGGACCATGGGTGGCCTTTGACCAGATATCGTAGAGTGGGTAGACGTTATTCATATTCTGTGTGGATTTGAACTTTGTCTACCACTCGTAGTGGGGTTAGTGCTTTGGTAAGACTAAACCGTTATTGCTCACGAGTATCAAGGCGGAGGGTTAGTATACTAATGTCTGGGTTGGATACGTCACTGCCATTGGTATGGTATACGTCCTTCCTAAAGGTTGGATATCTTTAAGAAGATTTGGGTTTGTGTGTGTGGGCTAGATATTACTCATTGCGTTGATTTATATGGATGTCTTACATCATGGTTGAGATACATGTATATATATTGTTGTGAAATGTTCAAGTTATGAATTATTGTTTATTCTACCAGAAATAGTTTCTACAAGAATTTTGGGAAGTATGAGATTCTACAAGAACTTGTGAGAAACGGTTTATGGTGAAATAGATTATTAATTGTATATTGAGTTCTTTTATTCATTAAATTATTGTTGTTACTTAAACTTGAGATCTGTTTCAAATGTCTCTGTTTTCTTCAAAAGTTATTTATGTTATTTATAAAATGAGACCGGCCATTTTATATGCTTTTCTAAACCTTATTTGGGTTTAGAGAAATTTTCCTACAAAGCTTTGTGCTCACCCCCTACTTAACAACCTTTTAAGATTATCCTCTCGAAAAAGAGCTGGGAGTCGAGGAGCCAAACACTGGGAGACTCCGATAGACGGGAGCGTGAATCCTGAGGTGGACGCTTAGAGCGACACTTTCTTTTGTTCTAGACTAGAATATTTATTCTGAACATTGTGAAATCTAATTTTTCTTTTGTTATTCCGTTACGCTATGATAGTTAAATTTTAGGATGTAATTATCACAAATTGGGCATATTCTCTTGATACAATAGTCATGTTTGACATATTCTTTTGGGATGATGATGTAAATATTAGATATAAAGAATGAATCTTTTTGTGTATTGATGAATTTTGTTAGTTACTCTCATAATGTGAACGGATTTTGAGTGTAATGTCGTCTAAGGTGGTTTTTAGGGCGTTACACACTTTCAATGTAGTCCTTTGTTCTTGATATGGAGGGTGCCGGTAAATCAATATTTCTTTGCTGAGGACCCTTTCTCTTTTGATGAGTATTCACCATGGTCACTATTCTTTGGGAAGTTTGATCAATTTCTTACAGACAGCGCCAGATTGTGCGGGATGTTTTTCGCATAATAAATAAATAAAAACAGCTCTCTCCCCTGGTGAACTCGTGTTTACCTCGAAAATTGACGGTCTGGTGGCAAATGGAGGCCAAAGGTGGCCTAAGGAGTGGTGATGAACTGCTTTAGGGGCTGTTCGATCAATCCCAATGAGTCATAAGTTGCTCTTAACACAAAAAGAGGGGTTAGAAGGGCACTCCGAGTATTTTTTGGCATATCCTCTCTGACANGTGGCCTAAGGAGTGGTGATGAACTGCTTTAGGGGCTGTTCGATCAATCCCAATGAGCCATAAGTTGCTCTTAACACAAAAAGAGGGGTTAGAAGGGCACTCCGAGTATTTTTTGGCATATCCTCTCTGACGGTCAAGTCAGTTCTTTGAGAGAGAGGAAGAAGAAAGCACAGTTCTGTGTTCTTAAGAAGTGATTTTGCGTATCTTTGTTTTGAGTTTTTTGCCACTATTTATACCTTCAAGGGCTGATCATTGTTGATAGGTGAGGTAGTAGGTGTAGCACAGTTTATTGGACAGCGCATTCCATCTTTTTAGGGGAGTCCCCGTTATTAATTGCTTGGTCTTCCGAGCATTAAATGTTCTTTCTTCAATGTAGTGGCATTAAATGCTCGGGTCCTGGAGTATTTAATGCTCCTTATTCTCGGCTTCCCAAGCCATTGTGGACGTCTCATCCTTCTGAGGGGTTATTAATGCTTATCTAAGATGACTGCATGTCAGAAGGGTACTTTTGTCTCTTTACCCCCACTCTTGCACATTATGTCACGTGACTCACTCTCTATGGCTACTAATCTTGTTCCTTCTATCATTCTGACCTCATTGGGAAAGTAACTCAATGATCCCTAGTCTAGCTCTCAGATTGAATGGCTATGCCAGTTAGCACCCCCTCCAGAAGTTGAGGACGCGTGGCAATACCAGAATTCAGTAAGTGCCCTCAAATCCGAGAATGCGTGGCTGCATCAGAGCAAAGGAGATGCCCTCGGTGCCGAGGACACGTGGCTGCATCAGAGCAAAAGAGCTACCCTTAGTGCCGAGGACACGTCAGAAACAAAGGAGATGTCCTCAGTGTCGAGAACACGTGGTTGCATTTGGACAAGAAGGTGCCCTTAGAGCCGAGGACACATGGCAGGATCCAATCCTTTCTCAGAAATGTCTCATTAATAATAGATCACCATATATAGATGGTCTAACACTTGGAAAAATCGAGTGGAAAGCATAAGAGAGGGGTTATTCAGGGGGATTGGTGGGTTATATATATATATATATAAACACGCCTTTAGTTCTTATGATATCTTCAACTCTTACTCAAATTTTGACTCAAATTTAAATTTGAATAAAAATGTCTTAAAAACTTACTCTTACTCTTACTCTTGACTCAAACTTATACCAAATCAAGAAAAACTCATTGTTTTTATTTAAATTAAGGGAGATTCAAATCTTTACTCAAATATTTAATTGTGAAATTTTACCATCATTTAAAAATCTAATGGACATCCTTACTCCCTTTTAAATTAGATTTGCCCTCATTTAAATTTAGGTCTTTTTTTTTTAAAATTTTAGTTTGTCTATTGAAGTCATTTAAATCAAATTAAATTTTTTATNTAATGGACATCCTTACTCCCTTTTAAATTAGATTTGCCCTCATTTAAATTTAGGTCTCTTTTTTTTAAAATTTTAGTTTGTCTATTGAAGTCATTTAAATCAAATTAAATTTTTTACTAAAATATTAATTTAAATTTAAATCATAATTAGAGATACTCCTATATATACTAATAATTAATATATAATTGAGGTTAGTTTTTGCAGGCCTTGGACCGAGTCCTGCAAAAACTAGCCTCGTGGCCGAATGGTTTCTGTGTACGCCTCGTTTTCTCCGCACTGGTCCCACCCATCTCACTTTAATATATGGCAAAACTTTTGTTCTGAGGAAACGATGCCACCCACTAAAAGTCCGTGACCGTCCGAATTTTTTTTGCAAAGTTAATGGTATTTGGACATGATTTTTTGATTTAATTATTTTTAATCCATAAATTGAGAGTGAACCCGGCCAGTATTAATTCCTTAATCTTATTTTCTTAAATGGCGTATATATATAGAAACCATGGTTGTTGTTTTTGCACTAATGTCATTGAAACATAATTGAAGGATATAATTTGAAAACATAATGAGTTGTTACCAATGAAATGATAGTGAAATGTGTTTAATGATGAGTCACATTGTAATATTAATGAATTTATTATCATATCATTGGTGACAATTCATTAAATCCTGTCCATAAATTATGTTCCAATAACATTACTCGTTGATCTTGCTATCTCCAAATTAATTTTCTTAATTAATCACACTGACACACGCGCGTACATTATAACACAGATGGCTTCTAGTGAAGCAGTCTACCGATTGCTGGGTGTCATGGTGTTGGTGTGTTCTTTTCCGTTTGAAGGTACATCGGCCGTAAGGGTGTATGGCGTAACTGCTGGATATCAAGACTTGGTTTCTACCACTTGTAGTCACACCCTTCACTTTGATGTATGTGTTTCTTCTTTAAGGTCCGATCCTCGGAGTAAGACCTCCGATGTCAAAGGACTGGCGGCGATTGCACTCGACCTAAGTATCGGAGAGGCAAAGAAAACGATCTCCTACATAGACAGTTTAAAGTCTCGTGCTGACAATACCCAAAACCAGTCTAAGCGCTTGAGTGAATGCATGGTGGAATACTCTGACGCACTCGAGAATCTACAGGAAGCCATTCAAGCTCTGAGCAAGACTTCTATTGATGATGTGAATGAATTGGCGACAACTGCAATGACAGATTCTGAAACATGCAAGGATGGCTTTGAGGAGGTACCGAACAGCCACTTTCCCCTGGCTGATAGGAACCAATACTTCGATAATTTATGCGGCAATTTCTTAGCAATTACGACCCTCCTTGTTTGACTGATTTTTACTGCCTGTCATGTCATCACTTTTGGCAGGCATATCCTCTATCTGTGTGAATCTGTAATTTTATGCTGTTTTTTTTTTTAAAAGTTTTACCATGAAGGCGACGATGTAGCAGACACTTGAGATTTTTTATGCCAAAGATTAAAGCTGTTATACCTTTTTAATATCTCCGTTGATCGTAGGCCCATGCAGAAAAGATCAGAAGTCAAGGGGGTTTGCTCACCGCCCCTACTGATTAAATTAGCTTACTGTGTGTGTCCTCTTTGTTCTTCGGAGAATTCCCCAACAGCCAACAGTCGTCGTTTTGGACTTAGCTTTGGTTGCACCAGCTCCATGCATCTTCATTTCTTTTGCAGGTCCACTTGTCTTTTTTATATTTGGGTACCCTGTGCAACTCATATTTTTTTTTTTATTGTGGTTAAAAAATTAAACTATAAATGGTAGAATCTAAACAATCTTAGCCGTTCTTATGTTTTATGTAAGCATAACTATGTATTTTATTGTATAGATATAACTTGGTTGATCACTAAGAAATCAATTATAATGTATTTAATTTATTGCAAACTAGAAACCACCATAGAAGGGTGAAAAGAAACTCAAAAGGGGAGACAATAAAAACCAAGAATAAGAAATCAAGCTTTTTTTTAAAAAGGGGATAAATCAAAACATTTAATAAGTATTAGCTAACGGTTAACTCTTTAATTCATAAAATCTTGATAGAATTGTGGATATCAGTTGTCAATTAAAACATGAGGGAGAGATTCCTTGTGAATATCTTAATTCTCGCATATTTTTGATTGGACAAAAAAGATGATTAATCGAAGTGTATGTAAACTGGTCCGAACACCCATGACCGCTAACTAAAAAAAAAAAACATCAGCGAGGACATGCCATCCTTTATCCAACTTCTCTTTTTCTTCATGCTGTGCTCCTCTTGAGGTGTGATGTGCTAGATCACTTGTTTATGCATTGTCTTCATCACCAGTTGTATGTCCTGTTGGAGAAATTAACATAATTTTACTTAATCAAAATAATATTTAGATTACAAACTAACAAGAATATGTAAATAAATATAAAATATCAATCAATTTAGAATAGAATAAAATAGAAACTATAAATTAGAAAAAGCTGGTCTGCGAGTCCGAGAGTCATGTGAATACTGTCCTAAAGCAACTGAGCCTCCCCGCGTGAGGGTACTGACGGACACCAGCGACTCCAAGATCAAACCCAGACGCTCGCAGCAGCACCTCCTCAATGGTTAATGACTCTTGAATAATAGGTTTTAAAATATATTAGTATGTAACTTTCAAGCTATTAACCCTATATCAATTTTATAATTAAATGGCATGAATATGCAAGAATTAAATTTCAATAGTAAAATTAAAAACTGAAAAATTAATACAAAATAATTAGTTATGTAGTTTTTAAAATTTTTATTTTAATTTATTCTAACATGTCCCTGCACTGGACATGGACACCCCAAAAGGAGATGTGATGTGGCATATCATGACCTCCCCCATGTTAATAATTATGAAGTAAAATGTTGATTGTAATTTTGTTTTTTGTTTTTTTAATTTATTATGCCACACTATCTTCTACAAAAATTACATAAAATAGTTAACAGTGATATAATTGAAAAGGATAAATAATAATATTTAGACTTAATTTACAGATTTAATGTAATTTTATAACAATAGATTGGAATCCAAGGAGAAAAATCCATGGCTTCTTTCAAGCGCATGGTGGCAATGGTCACTACGTCAGGGAAGTGCGGGAGTCCATCAGTGTACCCACACGGCCGGGTACAAAAAAAAGGAGGGACCTTGCGCATTAACTAATCCAAATGCAACCTAGAGATTTCCTATCCTACCACATATATCTCTTCTTCTTTTTTAATCATTGGG